CCCCAAAACCCCAAAACCCCAAAACCCCAAAACCCCAAAACCCCAAAACCCCAATTAATTTCAACAATATTGTAAGAGTTGTAATATAATTTATCTCAAATGGAAGAAAGCATCTTTGTGGAGAGGCATAGCGTCATACAGTTTAGCTCCTCTTGAGCTGTCTTTGTAGTTAATAACTCCTCTTCCTCAAGAAGTTATGTCAAAACTAGAATCAAGAAGAATGAGGAAGGCTATGAAGCCTTAGCTGAGATCGTCACAGAAGAGCTCCAAATGGGCAAAGAATTTCAAATGTATGATAAAAACGGAAATATTATGGGAAGTGATGATCTTTATCATCTGAAAGAAAACTCCATAGTTTACATAACTCCAAAAGGAGTAGATTTTAGCTATCATAATCTTCTAAAAATGTACGAAACGGTCAAGAAATTAGGAGAAGGAGGCTATGGCTCTGTTTATCTTTACAAAAATAGGCTGAATGGAGAGCTGAGTGCAGTTAAAATTGTCCCAATATCCCAATTTCAGATAAATGCTGAGCAGGTGCAGAAGGTTTTAAAGGAGGGAAATTATCTGGTCCTTGTAGATCATGAAAATATTATAAAATTTGAAACAGTCTTCATTTACAGTCCTCCAAGGGTAAATTTAAATCATTTTATTTTTAGAGAGACAGATCAACTAGGAATATGAACCAGTCTAAAATTTATATGTTCACCGAATATTTGCCTGGAGGGGAACTCAAGAAGTACTTATTTAACAGAGAAAATCCTTGAAGCGAAGACGAAGTCAAATAAAATAGCATTTTGATTAATTTCAGCTATATCTGATATTCATAGTCACAATATCATACATTGAGATCTTAAGTTAGAAAATATTTTGCTTGAAGATAAAAATGACCCTTTCTCATTGAAGATTATTGATTTTGGAGTTTCAGGGATTCTAACCCATATTTCGAAGGAACATCTTAAAGCAGGGACTCTTTTATATTCCGCACCAGAGGTACTATCTAAGAAGCAGAAATAACTTCGACCCCAAGATTGACGTTTGGTCACTTGGGGTGATAATTTATATCTTATTGACCAAGGAGTTTCCTTTTTGTGAGAAGACTGAGTTTGATACATTCAAAAGTATCATATCAGATCCTCTTAAATTCCCAAATACTCTCACATTGACTAAGGAAGTCCGACATCTGCTGTCAAAAATGCTTGATAAGAACCCAAAAACCAGGTATTCACTTGAAAATATCCAACTTCATCCTTGGATTCGGGATAAATTTGAAGATGTCGAAGGAAAATTTACTGAAACGATTGAAGACAACCATGAGTTTTACGATCCTAAGCTATTCAACAAGAAATTTCGAAAAGAGAATGATATTTTCACAAAGAGTACCATTCTAATTGACGCCCCAATCTTAAGGAGCAAAGATCGTGCTAGGAGAGTTTCCCAGCTTCCAGCTCAGATTGCAAGAGGCCTGTCCAAATTTCTGAAAGTCAAAGACATAAAAGGGTTATTTAACAACAAAGGCGAGGGAATTTTCCAGAATGGCAGCTCTCTTGGTACAAGAGACCTAAGTTTTACTGAAAATTTACATGAGATTAATGAAAATACCTCAAATGAGGATGACTGTACAACTCGTAAAATCTCTGCTGCAGTTGAGGAACAGGATGATGAACAACTTCCTGAACAACCTTCGCAAGCCCAGAACTTGGTTTCAGGCAATGAGGTTATTAAGAAAACCATTAAGAATAGAAGCAAGTCACAGTACAAGATGAAAAGGAAGAACAGACTTGTACTTGAAAGAAAGTTTTGATTCAATGAGACTAAGCTCAAGGAGATCCTTAAGGAGCTTGAGCTTCCTGTTGATAATAGAAGTGTCATGATCCTCAAGGATCATGCTAAGGAGTCTAGAAATAGCTTGATAAATATGAAACCAGCAATCATGAAGATCAATGAATGCCTTCCTAAGACTATAAGAGGCAGGCAAAGCAGGAAAATGGATAAACTCATTTCTCATATTTGTAAGAAAAATTCACTTTTCTTGAATAACACTGGCTCTAAATATTCTAAAGAAAGGAAGAATAGAGGGAATTCTTTAAGTGAGAAGTACTGCCAAAGTCTTTATCAGAATTCTTATAAGTATGGGTCTACTAACGCATCAAGAGTTAGGTCTCAATTCAATCATTACAAACGGTCTCACAACGATTTCCAGCAAATAGAGACTCCTGAGAAGAGTGATCCTACATTAAGACCTACAATGTCTGCATCTAAACTCTGAATTATCCGAAAACAGAGGAGGAAGAACACCTCAGATTACTGAAATCTCAACGCTGACATTAAGCCGAACCATAAAAAGGGTCTTTCTCAAACAAATGTTATCATGAACCCCAAAAATGTAGATGCAGGTTGTATCAGGATATTCAAGAAAAACTTCTTAAAGTACGAGGGTGATAATATTTCCTTCTCTAACAGCAGGAACACCTTACCTATTAACGCAGAAGTGCAGCATCCTGGCCATAACACAGGTAACTTTAGTCACTAAAATTCAGACAATTGCTATAAATTACAGACTACAAAGACCATTGGAGGGATTAGTGAGGTCACTTCTACCTCTCCGTACTATCAGAACTACAGATTACAGAGTGCTTCAAAGACATCAGTGGGAGTGTACAGAAAGCCAAGGGCTAATCTGCACAAGCCTAATTTCACCAGGCAAATTTTGAAGAATTTAGACAAAGGTTAGTCCTCAGTTTGTTTGAATAGTCTTAATAGTGGATTTAGGCAAATTGAAGGCTAATGATGAAGAAGTTAAGAAATTGCTATCGCTTACTTATACTCCTAAGTTGAGATAAGATAGGTTTTGGAGTGAGAATTAGGAGGTTTCAGTATTTTTAGGGTCTTTAGGGGTTTTGGGGTTTTGGGGTTTTGGGGTTTTGGGG